GGTGGTGGCAGTGGCCATGAGTGGGAATCAAACTCGTCTCTCTGCCGGGGTTTGTAGCACAGTGCGGTGCGCTCACTACTGCACCACACATTCTATACACCAAGTACTAAGTCATGTTTTTCAGAGGGGTCAAATACTTATTTCCCTCATTGAAATGCAAATCAATTTATAAAATTTTTGACATGCGTTTTTTCTGGATTTTGTTGTTGTTATTCTGTCTCTCACTGTTCAAATAAACCTACCATTTAAATTATAGACTGATCATTTCTTTGTCAGTGGGCAAACATACAAAATCAGCAGGGGATCAAATACTTTGTTCCCTCACTGTATATAAATTGCATTGGCATATGTGGTCATTGACGCGGTAAAACTAGTCAAGATGGTGTGGTGGTGTTGCAGTGTCAAGAAAAGTCCTTCATGGTGTCTTAAACTCTCTTCTCATTTGACAGCAATTGGAGAGTACAGCCATGTCTTTAGCTGCATGCAGTGAGGCATGGGGCGTCTGCGAGAATGCCGGCAATTCACGGAGCAAGACCAGAGGTCGAGCCATGCTGCCCACGTCTAGAGAGGTATTTGTGTGCTTGAATAATAATAGTGAAAATTATTGTACAGGCAGACCTTGCTTAGTGCTCAAAATGTGTATGCTGGAGAAGTGGCCACTAATCAAATCGGCGCATAAAGGAGTTCATTAGACAATTGTATATATGGGGATGCATTCCCAACAGCTTTAATTCTTACATGTGTAATGCGAGCGTAGGCTGGGGCTTCGCCGCCCCAGCCCCTAACCCATCCAGGCGACACGAGCCATCGGGGGAAGGGTTCAAGGGTGGAGCCCGCGGGCGCTAGGGGGTGGTATTATCTGGAAAGTTCTCAAGGGGTGTGGTGAAGGGCAGAGTCTGGGTGACGCGGGAAGGGGATATAATGGAGAGCCGGAAGGGGCTCGAGGTCAGTTGGTGAGAGCTGGAAGCTGGACCACGTCGCGGGTCTCCGTGAGCCATCGGCCACGTGGCGACGCGGAGACGGCTCCCAGCGCGCCGTCTGCCAGCGGTGCGCGGGAGCGGGGAAGCGGGACGCCAGCTCACGCGACGCGCCGCGGAACGTCCGAGAGAGCGGAACGCGAGCTGTCCATATAACGAAGAAATAAACAGACGGAGACACAGTCGCTTCTTTTTGGTTCTTTCGGTAAAGTCACGTAGAAGGGAAATAATAAAATAATAAAAATAAAACATAATAAAATACAATTTTCACGACGTTTCGGCCACAACGCAAGCAGCCGTCCTCAGGTGAAGAACAGGTCTGTCGGGGAGACAGCGTCTGAATGAACACAGTCGCTTGTCGTCGACCTGTATTATTGCACATGTATGAGCAATATATGAGGGCTTCATTGAGGTATTGGTAACAGCACTAATAATACAGATGCTAAAACTTCTTTTGAATAAGTAATATTTTAAAATACTTTTTTTTAAACACGCTTTAATGAAATGTACCGTATGAGTAATGGCAGAACTCCACAACTCCAGGAAGTGGCCCCGAGGCTTGCCATAATGTAAGGGACCGTGGTCAATTACAGCCTACGTAAGTTGAGCGTTGACAATTAGACCCAAGCCGAAACATAACATATAAAAAAGATTGTTTCAAAATATATTTTTTATTTTTTTTGATAGAATATAGTATTGTCATTGATACGGCTATTTTAATACAATGGACTGGAAGGACAAGATTAAAGGGCTCGTATAATGCACATGCATAATGTACGTTGACTCATTAATCGCCCCCCCTCCACTTTACGCAAGAGCGTGAAGTGTGGTCACCACATCTACGCCTCTATATAAGGAACAAAACAGGTGGACTTCTCCACAAATCTGTCTGTCGCCTGATGAAGCTAGTTGTAATACTGGCAAAACATCGTACTCAGATTGTAAATGTTGTGGCTTGGCTCTCCAACACACCAGTGTGCTGTACTAGTGACAAATTGGCATGTTCTGTTTACATTACAACCCTTACTAGTTGGCTGTGTCGGGTGGTGGTGGATTTTAACGACACATATATTTACACGATCTAACAAAACAAACCTCTTATGGATGATATTCGTCGTGAAAGCCTACATGTTAAACGGGATATTCGATGTCCCCTGTGAAGCCGATGGCGTTTATTTTACGGCTCGTACATCTTAGTATTAACCAGGACGGCCTGTCGGAATAGAACCGCAAACCTCTGCAACAAGTGGCAAATGCACTACCGCTGAGCCACGTCAATTATTTTATTCATAAACTTAGGTTTCCACGGCCAGCGTTATGATGCATAGTTGATTTGTGGGCTTAATTGAGGAGTGTGTATGTTCTCCACCTGCTGTACATGGACGACTCGAAGACTGAACTTTTAGTAAGGGCTTGCGCCAGTTTATTAACACAGAGGTAACAAAACACACCAGAGGTAGGTGTCCCTACACTCAGTCCTTGACGCGGACGTCAGGCTCTATCTATTCCTAGCCTGGGCTATCTCTTGGCCTCTCACTCGAGTTGGGATGGGGGCTTATCCAACACCACCCGACCGAGGAGAGCAGCACCCCACGTAATCTTAACCGCTTCTTGCAGACTTCTCTGAGCCCTACCCCTGGCTGTATCTTCGGCTCTCCTACTCGTAGAACCCGGACGGGGGATCAGCCAACACCGTCCGGTCACGAGCAGGAGAGACCTTCTTAAGACGCTCACCATCCCGGGCTCCCACAACGACCCCGCTTTCGCCACGAGGTCCCCCTTAAGTATTTCCCGTGACATGACGTCATTGCGCCTCACAGCGCTCATGATGTCATGTCGTCATACTACTCTACACATGTGTAGTGAGTGACATTGGGGATGTAACTGTATGGTGCCGGACAGCATCGTGTGTGTTGCAGAGTGATGCCGGCTCTAGCAGAGCACGGCGTGCGATGCACTGTGTTGCCTCTGAAGAAGAACTTCTGCAACTCAGTTGGACTCACTACACATGGATTTCCTCCCATAAAATAAAAAACCCCTTCCAATTGAACATGTATTGCTCATCTATCCCAATGCTGGAAATTACTTGCAAAATTACTGAATTCGGATGACACATGCAATCATCATCCCCTCCTGCTGCCAAAAAAATGGCATGACCCTCGTTAAAAATATTCTTGAGACTTAGGATTTTCTGGGTCAGGAAGTGTAACAATAATAAAAATGTCCTTGTCCCTAACTCTTGTTTCTGTCCTCCTGTACAGCCGCGAGGTGCGTGGGGTGGTGGCACGTCTCCGCGCCGAGTGTGGGTCACTGTCCGTGCACGCAGTTGCCTTGGCCCACACTCAAGGTGATCTGAACAAGGCCTTGGGACACGTTCGTAATGAGAAACAGGCAAATGTGCAAGCTTCTAGCATGCGATCGCGACGACCTACACGTGAGGTGGTAAGTCTTGAATAATAATAATTTAGTTGACAGTAATACCCCGGTTTATGTCGGGGATGCTTTCCTTAAATGTGCGGCAACGAATACCGAAACGACGTAAATCAACGCAATTTTGCCACGAGGACTAAACAATGCTGAAGCCGTATTAATGCGTGCATCTTCATCCTAGACGTATCCGCAACATTACATTCAATTACTAAAAATACTACACTCAATACTAGTTTCGGCAGTGAACGTTAAAACATTATTAGCAGTACATTATGAAAATAAAATCACTAAAATATCATGCGTAATTACTATATTGTACTCCATAGTACAGAACATTTCTTTATGCGCGATGCAAAGTAGTTTGTGTACAGGGTTAGGTGGAGGTGAAGGTTGAGAGGCGACAGTTACGAGAAAGGGCAGACGATGCTGTCAGCGACATGAGTGTGGGTTGAGGCAATGCTAGTCGGGTAGCGGTGGTGTTGATAATGAAGTGACAACGTATTTTCTAAACGATATAAAAGGGGGAGGTGTAAAATCGCAAGGCTTACAGCGCAAGGCTATCACGAAGGCGCAGTACAGCACATACAGTAGTCTGCAGTAGCTACATGTTGTGATGTTGCTTTGTGGAATGCCAATTGAGGAATTTGTCGGTCATTTGTGAATTTGGAAAATTTGAACCGTGACAGCAACACACATTGGCCTACTCTTATCAAACTAGCTTCTTTGCCCATCCTAGGATGGAAGCTGTAATATTTACGAAAAAAATTAGCAGAGTATAATTGTATCTTGTGTTAATTGAATGGCAGTGAATCTTGCACGAAATTATGTCATAAAACACTTCACTGCATTTCACTGTAGCACTGTATATAACTGACCTTCAATTTGTTCTAATTCACTGCTCTGATACTTTATTATTTTCTGCTTTCGGTCGCTGGGGTGCAAATAAATTGGATTGCAATACAATATCTGGAAAATCACCGAGAAATGTCTATGTAACCAAAATGTAGAAGCATAAATTAGACTTATCTTAGGAAAAAATATAGACCCCAAATCCAATTTGTTGCCGCGTAGAATTATTTATTAGATTCATTTTAAATAAAGAAACGTGAAACTTAAAGCGAATTTGCAACAAATAATAATTCTGCTCTACCTTAATGACGGGGGTGCGGCATGTGGAGTGACGTCACGCGCGGGACACAAACGCCCTAATTAATAATCATGAGCGGATGACGTCACTGATGTGGACCACGCCACCCACCCCCTCATTAATAATCAAGAGTGGATGATGTCATTCCACATGGAGTTCCCCCCCCTGATCAATAATCATGAGCGGATTCCGTCACTCCACATGGAGCTCCCCCCCTTCATCAATGATCATGGAATGATGATGTCACTCATGTGGACCCTGGCCCCACGCCCTCATTAATAATCATGAGCGGGTCTTTATTTTCGATTGAATATTTCAGATTAACTGCAATACACCCGTCCTTGGACGGGCTATAGGCTACTTTTATAATAATTTAGAAGCAAAAATTAGACTTACCTTTTGTTTCAAGTGCTGAAGAAATAAATAAAGACACCAAATACACTTTGTTGCTGCGTAGAAATATTGATTTGATTACATTTCAATAAAGAAACGTCAAATTTAAAGTTAATTTGCGTAAAACAAATTATTTCCAATCAACCTGCGGGAATGTAAAAATCCACCCGCTCATGATTATGAATGAGGGGGGGGTGTCTCTTTTGCAGTGACGTCACGTACGGATGTAGCACTGCTGCGTATATTTATTTTTTACTTTCTGTAAAGAAACGTCATATTTGAAGCAACTTTGCGAAAAAACTATCTTTCCACTCGGCCTTCCGCGTGAGTGTAAAAATCCACCCGCTCATGATTATTTTATTATTAATGACGGGGGAGGGGGTATGTGGAGTGACGTCACGTGCATTACACACATTTCTGGGCTATTATAGTAGTAATGCCATCAGCGGGAATTGTAACGTCCACTGTGAAGCGTCACTTTCATGTAAATTGCATCATCAGATTCGCTGATTTAGATCTCTGTATCGCGAGAAGAAAGCTCAAAGTGGTCCATGGGCGACCGGGATTTTGCTTCGGTGGCCATTGGACTTTGGAACTCTTTGTCAAAGTTGGTCAGGGAGTCTAGTTCAGTTTGGGCCTTCAGGTCCCCCCTAAAAATATTTATCTTTTAAGAAAGCATCTCGAATTTTAACTTAGCCACTTCTTACCCCCCCCCCCCCCCCCATTGTAAGGCACCTTGATGTTTTATGCATGGGGTCAGTAAAAGAGAAGAAGCAGAAAGAGAAGTGTTGTGAGCTGCGGTCCTGAGTGAATGTGTGTAGCTCGGTGAGTGAGCGTGTGGGTGATTTGCCACAGTGTAATGGTTAGCACACTGGATTTGCGATGATCCTAAGGTCACCAGTTTGTTTCTATGGCAGTTGAAACAACGGTGCAAGTCTCTCGAATTCCCCCCCTCCACTTGTGTAAGAACTCATCATTCATTCGTCGGAAATGTAAAAAAACAATTCAGGACCTGACTGTGACTCAGTGTGGATTTCCTGGACTAAGTCTATTTTATTATTATAAAGAATTAAAGGGGCTGTTTGATGACACGACTAGAGAGCTGGCTTGCACTGCAGGGAACTTAATATTCAACTTGGATTCCGCAACCCTCAATGGCCATTTTAAGTTAAATTTGTGCATGTAAGACTCGCACAAACAACCATACCCAGAAACCCATAGACCCCAACAGAGACCCATACATTCCTACAGACACTCAGACTCACACAGAGACCCCATACTCACAGAGACCGATAGACATGCACAGAGACCCATAGCCTCACACAGAGATCCATACACTCAAAGGCCCAAAAACTCACACAGAAATCTATAGATTCGCACAGAGGTCAATAGAATTAGAATTTGAATATTTATTTATACTGGATGCATCTGATGAGCTATAACGATCTGTTTTCACAGACGTCCAATCTTGTGGGTCAGAAAATAACAAAAATACGATACAAAAACATCACAGGAAAGGTAAACAAATTGTTTCGAAATATACAAATTAAACTGAACTCTTTTTATCTTACCATAGACTCATACAAACATGTTGGACTCGCACAGAGACCTTAACCACTAAACCTCGAACAATTAAAACCCTCTAAACCCCTAACTATCTAAATCCATAACCATCTAAACCGCTAACCCTCTCAACCCATTTACCCTTACAACCCTAATCTTTAAACCCCTCGCCCTCTAAAAGCTTAAACTCTAAACCACCAAAACACTAACCATCTCAACCCCTAACCCTCTAAATTCCTATACCCCTAACCCTCAACCCCTTTACCCTTAAAACCCTAACCCACCAAAACCCTCACTCTCTAAACCCCTTATTCTTTTAACCCTAACCGTCTAAGCCAATAAAAACCAAAACTTCGAAACCCTCTGAATCCCTAACCCTCTAAACCTTGAAACCCTAACCTTCTAAAACCCTAAATCCTTAACATTCTAAATACCAACCAATCTAAACCACTACCCTCTAAAGAACTAACCCTCTAGACCCCTAACCCTCTGAACTCATAACCTCCTAAATCCTCAACCTCTAAAACCCTAACCCTCAAACCCCTAACGTTCTAAAACCCTAAATCTGTAACCTAATCCCAACACATTTAAACCCCAACCCTCTAAAGAACGAACCCTCTAGACACCTAACCCTTAAAACACCTATGCCCCTAAAATGCTAACCCTCTAAACACATAATCCACTACACCCGGAACCCTCTAAACCCATAAAGGTTTTTTTTTGTTAGATTATGTAAATATAAACGTGTCGTTAAACCAACCACCACCTGAAACAGCCAATTAGTAAAATTTGTCACATCAACAAAAAGTGCCATTTAGTGTTGGAGACTAAACCAAAAAAAACCTTTATTATGGACAATATTAGTTGTGAAAGTCTACGTGTTAAACCCTCAACTCTCAAACCACTAAACCCGTAACACTGTAAATCACTAACCCTTGAAACCCCGATACCTCTAAACCCCTAAACACATACCCTTATAACCTCAACTACTAACCATCTAAACCATTCAACATCCAACAATCGAAACACAAAAACCTCTAAACACGTAACTCTCTAAACCCCTAACCCTCTAAAACCCATAAACCTCTAAACACGTAACTCTCTAAACCCTCTAAACTCAAAACGTTCTAAACTCTAACCCTCTAAACACCAAATCCTCTGAAGGACTTTCGCCTTAAGACCCCAACCGTCTAAACACCTCACCCTATAAAATGGCAACCCATAAACCCCCAACACTCTTAACTGCCTAAACCCTTAACCTTATAAACCCCAAACCGTCGAAACCCCTAAACCTGTAAAACCGTAACCCACTAAACCCCTCACCTTATAAACCCCTAATCCCCTAAACATCAAAACCTCTAAACCCATAACCTTCTAAAACTCTTCTGTGAACAGGTGTCTTTTATACAGGTAACAAGCCGAGATTAGGAGCACTCCCTTTAAGAGTGTGCTCCTAATCTCAGCTCGTTACCTGTATAAAAGACACCTGGGAGCCAGAAATATTTCTGATTGAGAGGGGGTCAAATACTTATTTCCCTCATTAAAATGCAAATCAAGTTATAACATTTTTGACGTGCGTTTTTCTGGATTTTGTTGTTATTCTGTCTTTCACTGTTCAAATAAACCTACCATTAAAATTATAGACTGATCATTTCTTTGTCAGTGGGCAAACGTACAAAATCAGCAGGGGATCAAATACTTTTCTCCCTCACTGTAAACCCAAAACCCTATAAACTCCTAACCCTCTAAACCCCTTTACCCTCTAAACTCCTTTACTCTTAAACCCCTTTACCCTGAAAACCCTAACCCTCTAAAACCATGTACCCCAAATAGACTTATCCTCTAAACACCTAACCCTCTAAACCCCAACCCTCTAAACCCCTAACTCTCGAATCCCCTCAACCCCTAAACCCTATAACCCTCGAAATCCCTAAACCTCTAAACCCCTTATCCCTGAAATAACCCAAAACCTCTAAACCCTTAACTTTATAAATCCCTAACCCTCTAAACCCCTAACCCTTTGTGTGGAATGTGGTGGGGGTGGGATCATGGGGTGGGTGGGTGCAATGTGTGTGTGGTGTGCGTTGGGTGGTGGGTATCACAGGGGGGTGAATGGGTGCAGGGTGTGTGTGGTGGGTATGGTGATAGTGGTTGTGGTTCACAACGATCCGTGACCACCACCACCACCTCTACTGTGTGGTGGACCGGCCACCACACAGCAGCATGCGTCGGAGGAGTGAACGGATGGTTCTCCCTATGCGGGCCAGACTCCCTCGCTTCCTCTTCTCCTCCTGCATCACCATCACCTGATCCTCTTTCCTTGTCATCTCCTTCTCCACCAATGTCTCCTCCACCTGCACCACCATCTCCTCCTCCTGCTCCTTCGTCCATACCTCCTCTGTCTCCCCCCTCATCTCTTCTTCCTGCACCACCAGCTCCTCCACCAGGGTCTCCTCCTCCTGCACCACCAGCTCCTCCACCAGGGTCTCCTTCTCCTGCACCACCAGCTCCTCCACCAGGGTCTCTTCCTCCTGCACAAACAGCTCCTCCACCAGGGTCTCCTCCTCCTGCACCACCAGCTCCTCCACCAGGGTCTCCTCCTCCTGCACCACCAGCTCCTCCACCAGGGTCTCCTCCTCCTGCACCACCAGTTCTTCCACCAGGGTCTCCTCCTCCTGCACCAACAGCTCCTCCACCAGGGTCTCCTCCTCCTGCACCAACAGCTCCTCCACCAGGGTCTCCTCCTCCTGCACCAACAGCTCCTCCACCAGAGTCTCCTCTTCCTCCACAACAACCGTCAGCCATTTAGAGGCCTGGGTGAGCGCGGAGGATGGGGGCAGCGCCGGCTCCGCTCTGTAAAGAGATGCGCACGACACCGTTCCAACTTCCTGCTACAGCAGAGATCGCACTCCCCCCCCCCCCCCCCCCACCATCGTGCGGAGATAGATTAACCAGGTTAATAACGATGCTGCAGTAACGCAGCATACCTTTGCCCATCGTGGGTCTGGTTACAAAATGGGCATTAGTCTTGCGATATCACACTGGATGAAAGGCTACATGGCAAAGATATGGCTGCTTCATTATTTGTCTTCACCCAGAAACCAATTATAAAAATACATCCGTATATAACCGAATGTACACGTGGGGTTTGAACTGTACATGTGTTCGTTTGCAGGCGGCAGGGCTGGAACTCACAGAGGGACCTGGGTTTGATGCCCAAACTTGGGCCACTTTCTCCGTGTGGAATGTGGAGTGTGTTCTACCCCCCCCCCCCCCGTTTTATCCTGCATTGGTTTCCAAAATCAGAATAAATTATTTAGACTGGATGAAGAGGAATCCGATAAGCTATGAAGCTCTTCTTTCACAGATATGCAGTTGAGGCACAGGGTCAGCAAGTTACAACAACAAACAAAAGAAAATGAGTGCAAAGTGTAAAAATGTAAGCAAGTCACAAAATAACTGAGCATATAAGCACAAAGTACGTAAAATCCTGCCAGTTTTTCAACACTAAATACAAATTTATGGGTTGTTACGGGAAGAAAGGCGGACAAACACAAGGGTGTCTGGACCCACACACGGGTGTCTACATCCACGTCCGCATCGGTTAACCCTGGGGGGGCATGGGGGCGTTGTGATCCCCCATAGCCCCACCCCTCGGAGAGGATTCTTATAAAAGGCGGGGAGCCAGAGGGCTCGAGGCCAGTGTGTTAGACGCTTACCAGAGAAGACTGAAGACCGGCAGAATAGGCCCTGGAACTCCCCTGGCTCGCTGTCCTTGTCAGGGCCGAGCAGGGCAAGTGGCGCGGCCCCAAGAGCTCCAGGACCGCTGCTCTTGTAAGAGCACGGCCTGGTTAGCTGGGTGCCGGGATCCGTGCTTGACCAGGGCCGGATCAGATAGCCTCCCCTAGCACTCATAGCGGAGGACTGGGAATAGGAGAAGTCAGGGGATAGTGCTAGGGGTGTTTCCCATTGAGTACGGGTGAAGGGGCCATTACCCCTTCAAGTATTGTTACCGCCTTTTGGTTAAATAAAAGAGTGTGCCTCAACTACGTCGTCTGTCTCCCTGAGAACTCACTACACTTGTATAAGTGTAGTGTATCGTGTAGTGTATAGTGTAGTGTGTAGTGTGTGTAGGTTAAACGTTGAGTTTTATAAGGGCACCACGGGGTGACCAGCCCCTCCCCACCCAGCCCCACCCCTCCCACCCCCCACCCAGCCCCACCCTCCCCACCCAGCCCCTCCCCACCATCCCCTCCTCCCCCAGCCCCTCCCCACCCTCCCCTCTCTACCCAGCCCCACCCCTCCCACCCCCACCCTCCCCTCCCCATGCACGACAGACAATCCCTGGTGGGCAGTGTGGAATCTGTTGTTCCTACCGGTATAACAGTGGGAAATATCTGAACCGGTCCTGGGCCTCCCCTTGATCGACTCAACCTCAAATGAGTACCTGATACAGTGGGTACACATCACCACGAGGGAGACAAATGCGTGGTGTTGGCTACCCACTCCCCTGTGTACTGTGCCCGTTCTCTGTAGGTCCTCACTAACACCACTTGCCTCAAAAATTTGTTAAGGCTATGAGGGGGGATCTTTGTCTTTGTACAGTGGCATTGGCTACGTATAAACTGATACTTTGAATGGAGTTTATAATACAGCATGGCCTACGTGTAACGCATCATATACCATGTAGACAGCACCATGAAAGTGTGTGCCGTATAATACAGAGTATGTGTAAAGGAGCATAGCCTGTGCACGTACTGCAGAGTTACTTTGAACTGAAACGTGGCATGGCCGTTATGTGTAGAACAGCATTTCTTGTGTATATGTAGTGGGTTCCCACGGAGACTGGAGACGTAGCTTAGAGGCAACACGGTTTATTTAAATCTTATAACAGAAGCCCCTTTTACTCCCACTACTTTGGGAGGTATGGCCTCCAGGCTAACGTGCCCTATCACTGGGGCTACGGGCTCTGAGTCCTCCGACTAAGGGTGGCCTAGGGGAGGCTATGCTGACCCGACCCAGCCAAGGTGCGGGTCTCAACCACTGGTCCGTGCTCGGCCCCGCCCCTTAAAAGGACGTCGGGTCCCAGGGTCCCAGGGTCCTAGCCTAGCCGGTCTTCAGTCTTCGTCTTCAGAGCACTGCCTCGGGCCGTCCTGGGGTCCGTCTTTTATACCCACCTCGGGGACTCTCCACCCCCGGTACCGCCCCCTTTCTGGAACCTTCCAGGTGGCTTTGGAATAACCCCCCAACCCCTCACCTGTGGTCGGGGGGGGGGAACTCGGCCTCTCAACGGTCCCGGTTCTCTCTCTAACTCACGGTGGCACCCCCTGCAGACTCGTGCCCGCAACTACAGGTGGTGTGTGCTTTGCATTTCCGACGCTACATATACAGCAAGAAATACTCTACATAGAGAGAGCATGGCATCTGTGTGTGTGTACTGCATGACACACGGTGTACGGTGTGTAATCCACAGTGATGGGCTGCTGCTGCTGCACCTGTTGACGTTGATGTCGGGGCAGGCAGAGTCCTCGCTCCGGGTCCCCGTGGCGTTGCTCCGGGGGAACGTGCAGAAGAAGGCGTTGGCCAGGAGGCAGGCGGCCTGCTCCTGAGACATCGTCAGCATCAAGCCGGTGTCCCGGCGGAGCAGCGGCAGGGGCTGGGGACACGTGCGGTGCACAGGGCGCAGCGACGTCACACGCGGCAACGGGTGGCACGGGGTTGCAGAGGAGCAACGGCGCAATGGTAACACCGATGCAGAGCACTGAGCCTGCAGCACTGGGATGCTGGGGTCTGGATCAAGGAGTTCTGAAATTCACGTAAAACAGATGATTGTTGTACACGTGAGGTTAATGCTGCAGCCCTGCAATTACTTGCTCATGCAACTGCTGGTGAAAGAACCTCCACTAGAGGGAGGTCTAGAGTGCCGATCCGGTGGGTATGTTTTGGCCAACTTTTCCACACTGACCATTCGTCTTGAAAGAGGTGGGAGTACTCGCCATTTATCCCACTGCACGCGACCCACCGATGGACTGTGGGTGGACAAAACAGGGAATTGTAAGAATCCTGGTCAATGTTTTCAAGGCCAGGCTGGGAGATCGAACCGCGACATTTGAAGTCAATCGTGACAACCATCCCACAGTCATGGCAGCAGCCCTTTTGCAGAAATAAAATAAAATATTGGAGAGGGCTTCACACAAGAAACAAGAAGATTTAGTGGTTTGGATGTGGCTCTCCAATGAGTACAGATAGGGTACCACAAGTAGCGGTGCATACTCGGGCACAAAGAAATAGAAGCAGAGACAAAGAATGAGATAGATCGATGCAATAAAGAATTGGCAGTGGTGCACCAAGCACGACCCCTTGCTGAGCGCTGCAGCAGCAGCCCCCCCCCACCCCCGGACCCCTCCCCCACCCTCCACTTCTCACCCTGACGCCACACAACCCGTGGGTAGGCGATGTCCTCTGGTGGACAAGGCGCGGTACAGGCGGCAGCACGAGACGCCAGCAGCGTTGCGCTGCCAGGGTTACTCACCCGAACACCTCCGTACACTTACACACACCTACACACACCTCTATACACCTCTATACACTCACACACACCTACACACTTACAAAGACAAAGATCCCCCGTATAGCCTTAACAGACTGTAGAGGCAAGTGCTGTTAGCGAGCACCTATGAAGGCCGGAACGGTACACGAGGGGGTGGGTGGCCAGCACCACGCCCGACCGCCTTTGTCTCCCCAGTGGCGATGTTTACACACCGCACCAGGTACTCATTTAAGGCTGAGTCGACCTAGGGGAGGCCCAGGACCGGTTCAGATAATCGTCACTGGTGTTAGCCGTGAGTGGGAATCGAACCCGGGTCGCCAGGTTCATAGCGCAGCGCGCTAACTGCTACACTACCGCTCCCCACACACCTACACGCACACACCTCTACACACTTACACACCTACACACACACCTATACAACAACAACCGCCATTCGCCACTAAGTGGCGGTGACGTCACCACGACGCTTGTGCCAGGCCAAGTGCACCTTGAGGCCACGTGAAGTGTCGAACGCCCGCTGGCAGGAGGTCACGGGGCAGACCCAGCAGGTGCCACGGGTCGACTGACCGAGATGACCGAGATGACTGGCTGATGCACCACCTGTGGCCCCCTACCGTACCAACTTGCTGTGCTTTAGCCACCCGGCGCTCCGCTCGTTGTTGTGAACGTCGCTCCTCAGCCCTCCGTTGTTGTTGGAGGGCGACTGCCTCCAACTGCCCAGTAGCGTCCTTCACGAGCCTCCTCCACTGAGGCCGATCTTGACACTGCTGGTACCAGTCATCGGCAAGTCCACTCAGCTCCACGTCCTCCTGTACCACATCACTCCATCTCTTCTCTAGCCCGCGCCGCGCCCGTTTAGCCCCCTCGATTTTAGGCATGCGGTAGCTGGGCATGCGTGCTACATGACCCAGCCAACGCAGCCTTGCCTGCCGGAGGAGCTCACCGATGGGACTTTGCCCAGATCTTTCAAGGATTTGTGAGCTCCTTACACAATCCAGCCTGGTTAAACCCAGGATGGATCGTAGGCAGGCCAGCCTAAATGTTTCCAACCGACGAAGTTGCTCCATTAGGGGGGTCCACGTTTCGCAAGCGTAGAGAAGGGAGGGAATGACCGTGGCCGAGAAGACCTGAAGCTTCATGCGGAGGTAGCTTCCACACAGCGTTACGCAACCGATGAAAAGATAATGCCGCTCGACTGATTCGGAGTGAGACCTCTGCTGATAAACTGGAGCCGGTCATAAGCACACTGCCCAGGTATGGGAAACTCTCCACTCTCTCCACAACTGCCCCATCACCGATTGGGAGTTGTGGGGGTGGAGTGTCTGATGGTACAAAATACCCAGGCAGGTGCTTAGTTTTGGTGGGGCTGATGGTAAGGCCCCACCTCTTAGTGGCACGCTCCAGTTTCAGCAGCAGCGTCTCCAACTCCTCTTCTGAATGAGCAGCTATTACCAAATCATCGGCATACATAACGTGGTCGATCAGCCTCCCATTATATCTGTACCAAATGGAAATTCCCCCGGTACAGCTATTGAAGGCTTCACGAACTACGCAGTCGAAATAGATGTTAAATAATGTGGGAGCCTGAGGACATCCCTGTCGCACCACAAGGTGTACAGGGGAAGGCTCTGATTCCCGGCCACGTAGTTTTACC